ATTTAAATTTGAATTAGATGAAGTTATTGGATTATTTTGAGGTGTACGTGGTAGACGAAAACCAAGAGTTGATAATAGTTGAGAAAGTACTGTCAATATGGTGGTTGACATTGATATAAATTATCTAATCTATAAAAAAAAAACCCAAATAATATTGTATAAAATGGTTATTAACTTTTCAAAAAGAGCCAATTCAAATGTTCTCTACCAATTTTAGTTACATGTTAACGAACTTCATCAAGTTTCTAAATATTTTAATTAATAAAAAAATCATTCAAGATTTTTTATATCTGTATTTGATCAATAATATTAAATGATATTTTCCTGCAGCAAGTCTATCATCAACACCATCAGGTTTCTATTGATCAGAATACAAATATCTTTTAAAAATATAAAATAAAACTAGCGCTTCTCGTTTTGTTTCTTTTTTGTATTTTAACACTCTCTTTATTAATTATTAAATCTTTTCGAATATGTTCAATAGCTGCTTCTATATATTCTTTATGTTTTAATAATGATTTTATTTCTTCATTAACATCACTCCAACATAAACGTAATTTAGCAGCAACAACACGACATTGTTGAGCATAAAGAAAAGCTTCTGTATTACTCAATTCATTAAGTATGTCACGTACATATGGTAAAGGATCAATATCTGAATTAAATATTTATATTGACTTATTTTTAATAAAAATATTATCTTTGCCAAAGAGAATATTTTGATCACTTTTTTCAATCGCTTTAGCATTAACACGAACATCAGCCATTGTTTCTTGCCGCCAATTATCATTACTAAGTAAACTTCGACCTAAACATTGTAGTTGTTGTTCAATTATAGCTGGTGATGGTCGAGTTAGTCTTTTTATTTGTTTTTGTTTTAATGGTTGCTTATCAAATGTAAGACTTCTTGATAGCAATGGTTTTCCATTCTTATTATTAGTATGATCATCACCATCATCCTCAATTAATGATGGTCTTTGCATGTGACATGGTGTATTTGCCCGAGATGAATTTGTCATCTTGTTAAATTTTAATATTGTTCTATGTGAAACAAATCAAATTTTCTTTTCTAATACTTTTGTATATAGTGGTTAAATAATTAAAAAAACCTTCTCTTTTACAAAATTGATGTTAGCGAATCAGTAACCATTATCGATTCAATTTCTATTCTTTTTTTCTTCTTCTTTTTCGTTTTACACGCGACTATTGAAAATTTTTTCTATGCTTAAAGGCATGCAACGGCTACACGTATTTGATTGTTTCAAGACTCAACATCAGCAACATTTCATTCAAAAAGTCCATGACAACCAAAAATATTGACATATGCGCAGTAGGTTGCTGTTAAGAAAGTGGTAGGGTGCGGCTGTGGGTGTGAGTGTATGTTCTATCTATAACCACACCCACATACACCCTCAATAAGTATGGTGCCTCTTGAGCACCAAGTACATTATATTGAACAATCAATATCGTCAGTTCTTAGATGAAATAAAGAATATCTCAACATGAGATAAATAAGAGAAGAAGTTAATTCACTTTTTAATCTTATTATACACAAGAGATTTATTGT